CTAGAAACGTGGCGTGACACTAGTCATGTGAACTTCGCTGACGCAACAATATCAACTTGACGATAGTTCAACCTATTATTTAATTTCAATATTTTTGGCTCCCAATTAATCAGGTGTCCATGAAATACGCATTTGGATCTCTTTTTGTTTGTCAACTTGTCACTTAAATACATAAAAAAAATGTAAAATCATTTAATTGTTTATCATGTATATATTGATATTTTATGAACTCCAGGGGACGAACAGATTCATACTTCTTTATCCAAAAACATTTACAAAAAACAGCTATTTTACATTAAAAAATACGTCATAAAGGGAAGATCTGTATCGACCAATTTCATAGAACTAAAAGAATGTTTTAATATATACATAGAAATCACAAAAAAAAGAAGAAAAATGAGCTGTACTTAGACAATCACTGCTAAACAATAGCTAAACAGACATAGATATATAATACATTTATATAACTGGCCGACCATTTCAGTAAAAAATTTGTAAATAGTTCAAGACATCGCAAAAACTAACACAGAATTATTATGCATCAAAGTATGACATACAAATTTCAGAATGTACTATAAGCTTAAAAATTATTCAAAGATCGAAGACAATGCAAGTCAGAGATGTATGTTTACAAGATTTTGAAGTAAGAGATTAAGGAGAAGGCTGTTAATCGTAAACTCATCTCTGACAATACATTTGCATTCAGGTAGCGTAGTGCACACCGGAGTGTAAACATGTTTTATGAAGAGAAACAGCCAGTACCCAGTGAATATTCTTTAATTCATCAACGTTTCACCTTACGGCTTTATCAATAGATAGACACCCTACAGAACACAAGCTTGGTCTTAACAGAACAAAACAGCTGATGTAACTTAAAATAACGATAATGCGTTTTCACGTATCGTCTGACATGCAATGACGTTAACAAAAACGAGAAGGTACAGAAATACATGTATGAAAAGAATATATTCATGATAAAGAAAATACTCATTTCAAATCGAAAACTAAAGAAGACTCATATGAACATTTAAGGCTAATAAATACGTACATGTAAACAGTAGATATAGTTAACACCACATATCTACATTATTACAAAATAAATATAGTAGAAGGTATTAAAATGTTCATATATAAATAAATCCAGCATTTAAAGTGGCTTTGTTTGTTTGAAGTTAAGAACAAAAACACACAATGGGCTATCTGTGCTCTGTCCACCACGGATATCGAAACTCGGTTTCAAACACTGTAAGTCGGCAAACCCACGGGTGTGCCACTGGGGGCTTTAAAATAGCACCCTTCTCTCCCTTTTGAGGCTTCTCAAATCTTATAAGAAGAGACTCTTTGTACTTCTTGTCCAGAAAACCCTAGCATTTTCTTTCTATTTTAATACAAAACGGTGATCGGATTTAGGCACACCGTTCTCATTAATAAAACTAGCAGAAATGCCGTCCAACAGGTGGCTGTTTGTGCTAGTAATTACTAATCGTAGTATTCATATTTCATTGAAAAAAAATTAGAAAACTGAACATTTTCTAAAAAAGGATTTATTTCTGAAAGTACTGCACTGGAAAAGTGTTTGGATTTTGCTCTTTAGTTATACCCAACTCATTGCATTGAAATGGTTTAATGTAGAGAGCTCAAAATTTTACTGTTATAATCTGTGATGTTTTATATGTTAAGAGTGGCATCGTTTAATGAAAAAATAATAATATTTTTTTAAATACTCCAGTTTCTCAGTACTACATTTAAAAATTACATCAATAAAGATGTAATCAAACCCTCACGTACAGTCTTAGTGAAAGTCATGTTCTTGTTGTGAGGAGAGTACTTTTCTTTAAAATTGGGTTCTGTTATGAAGGAATGGTTGTTGCACATACCACAGTTATTTTGCTACTTGTCTGAATCTCGAATACCCAAAGTGTGAATTTTTTTATGGATTTTCGTTTGTGGCGCCATTCAGTAGATAGCGCAGGCGTTTTAGTTACATACATAGATACTGACAAACACGCAATGTCGATTATAATGAGATGTGTCGCAACTTCATTTCTATTAACCGTGCCGATCATCGTAGCACGAAAATCTTCCATGCAACGCTCTTTTACATGTCTCTCAGTTTATTTAATATATTTTTCATCACAAGTACCACAAGAGATACTGTAAACTACATCTTTCTCCATACATTTCTTAAAAATTCCTAGATTACATCCTAACAGTGATCGCGGGGTTTAAATGCTGAGCGCACTAAGTGTGATTTAACGAACGCCCAAACTTTTCTATAGACAAACCCAAGCCCCTCACAGCATTTTTAATTATTTTATTAACCTTAGGACTAGTAAAGTACAAATATTTGAAATGCACCATTTTCTTCCTAGCCTCTGTTCTTTTCTTTGTTTGTCATGAATGGTGAACATTTTGTTAACCAAGCTTTCAGGATTATTTTGTTTGTTTGTTTGTTTTTGAATTTCGCGCAAAGCTACTCGAGGGCTGTCTGCGCTAGACGTCCCTAATTTAGAAGTGATAAACTAGAGGGAAGGCAGCTAGTCAACATTACTCACCACCATCTCTCGGGCTACTCTTTTGCCAACAAATAGTGGTAATGGCTGTTACATTGTAATACCCCCACGGCTGAAAGGGCGAGCATGTTCGGTGATGGGGATTTGAGCCCACAGAATGCGAGTCGGGCACCCTAACCACCAGGCCATGCCAGGCCTACTTTCAGGATAATCATTCAACTTTAAAATTCCCGGAGAATTATCCTCACTTCCATTAAATCACTAGTATTGTTACAAATATGTGAAAGTCTCCTTAACTGGCTAAAAATCATAGCCCTCTTCATGGCCCATTGCGATGAGAGAGAAAATATTGAAGTAGCGGTCTTTTTAAAAAACTTTTTATGTGCGTTACAAACCACCTTACCGTCCAATACAGCCGTAGTAGTGTTTAGATGGAGCGTATTCGAAAGTAAACTTGATACTATCGTGAACCCAAATTAAGCTGTTCAGACCATCATCAAAATCTCATAACTATCGTCAATAAAACGCAGCTGTTTTGTTCTGTGTTCGGTAAGGCGTCTTCCTCTTGATAAAGTCGTAAGGCGAAATGTTGATGAAGCCTCAGAATTTTCACTGGGTACAGGCTGTTTCTCTTTATAATACTTCTGCATAATTTTATCCTACAGGTCCTCGGTCCGGCCTTATGTATGGTTTACAGAAAATACCCCAAAATCGTAAACTGACAAAAATACGAGTAGCTTCTAAAATTTACCCTGAAAGACAATCACATCTTTAACTAGAACAGATGGAAGAGATGGCGACGGGATCACCCCTAAGTCTGACTCTTGCAAGTATTTATTTTTCGTTGTTATGAATGTCAGTGACTGAATAAATGCCCCCCCCCCTATTGCAAACCAGTATTATAAAGAAGATATGTTGATGTACTTTTCAACTTTTTCACAACACCGATCATGCTAAGAAGTTTTAGAATACATAAACTCGCCACATCCATGTATAAACTTTACATTTGATTGAAAGAAAACGATAACTTAGCTTTTTTACACGTTCAAGTAAACAAAATAGATAATGTCTTGTATTTGCCTCATATGTTTATTGTAAGAAAACACTTACTGGCTTGTACTTTAGTTTCGAGAGCTTCTTACCAAATGTTAGATATACACGACTGTTTCATTTAAATTTAAAACCAGAGTTATGATTTAGATAGTT